TTACCTCTTTTTTTCTGCAGCACAGATCCCATATGCTTCACTGACTAATTACAAACATTCACTAATAAACCTGTTGGACAATAACCTGGTGTCATGTGATTTCTGACCTTGTCCACCCAAATCCAACACCAGCACCTCCACATCATCAGTATCCTTTAGGGAAGGGTGTCTTTGGTTCTTAGCTGGTCCAGCCTACATGTGACTTCAGACCCACACCAACGTGGTTTACTCTTAATTATCTTCTAAAATGGCCTAGCAATCCATTCAGTCATAATAATTGCAAGAAATGATCAAAAAATACATGGAAACAGATGGGGACAAAGCATTAACCTAGGCACCGGAAAAGACAATGACAAATACAGCCCTTGTTGGCCCTGCAAAGTCCTCCTTACTAACATCTAGGGACTAGTGTCAAAATTGGGAGAGTGTCTGTCAAACTAGTCAAGCAACAGCCTGACACAGTTATACACATGGAATCATATCTTACAAAAAATGTCCTAGACCCACAATCCCTAGGTATGTCCTGCCCCACCAGCAGGATAGGCCCAGTGGAGGTGGCAGCACAGTGGTGTACAATTAGGAGGGAGTTTCTGTCGGAATTCTCAACATTGATTCTATGTAGTCTCATGGCAGCAGGTCAAACATGGACAAGGAAATCTTTTGCTGATTACCACACACCGTCCTCCCTTGACTGATGACTGTGCTACCCCATGTTGAACACCAATTGGAGGGAGCACTGAGGGTGACAAGAGTGCAGAATGTACTCTCAATCTCGTCACCAAGAGTGGCTCGGCATCAGCACTAGTGATCGAGCTGGTTGAGTCCTGAAGAACATTTTTGCAAGTCTGTGTTTGCAGTCTACTGGGTCAGTCAGTGATAAGATGATGTTTCCCCTCACGAGAATGTCCATGACCAGAGAGCATAGTGTCAGAGTAAAGAGGTGCCAATTTAAGACTCAGATGAGGAAGAATTTCTTTTCTCAGAAGTTTGGGAGTCATTGGAATCCGTGTCACAGTGAGTGGGGACAGAGTCCTTGTGTATATTTAAAGCTGAGATAGATTTTTGATCAATAGGGGAATCATAGTTTTCAGATGAAGGGCAAGAAAATAATTTGAGGAATGTTGGATCAACCATGATCGTATTGAATGGCAGAGCAGGCTCGAGGAGCCAAAACAGCCTACTCCTGTTTCTATTTCGTACGATCTTATGGCAGCAGGTGGTGAGGGAACCAACAAGACGGAAAAACATACTTGACCTCATTCCCACAAATTTACCAAGCATGGATATATCTATAACTGTATTGGTAGGAGTGACCGCTGCACAATTCTTGTGGAGACAAAGTCCCGCCTTCACATTGACAGTACTCTCAATCATGTTGTGTGGCACTGTCACCGTGCCAGATGGGACAGACTTTGAACAGATCCAGCAACGCAAGACTGGGCGTCCATGAGGCACTGCGGGCCATCAACAGCAGCAGAATTGTCCATCAACACAATCTGTAACCTCATGACCCAGCATAATTCCCACTCGACCATTGCCATCAAGCCAGGGGATCAACTCTGGTTCAATGGAGTGCAGGAGGGCATGCCAGGAGCAACACCAGGCATACCTGAAAAATGAGGTGTCAACCTGGTAAAGATACAAAACAGGACTACTTGCATGCCAAATCAACATAAGTAGCAAGCAACTAACTAAGCAATCCTATAAGCAATGGCCAGATCCAGGCTCTGTAGTTCTGCCAAAACCAGGTGTGAATGATGGTGGATAACTAAACATCTCACTAGATGAAGATCCCACAAATATCCCCATCCCCAATGATGGAAGAACTCAGCACATCAGTGCAACAGATTAGGCTGAAGCATTCACAATTGTCAACAAAAAAGAATCTAACCATCGTCCCCTGACATTTAAGGGTATTACCATCACTAAATCCAGAATTATTACTAACCTGGGGATTACTATTGACAGAAAATGGACTAGCCATATAAATACAATGGCTACAAGAGCAGATCAAAGGCTAAGAATCCTAAAGCATGTAACTCACCTCCTCACCCTCCAAATATTGTCCAAAATCTGCAAGACAACAGTCAGTAGTATAATGGAATACTCTCCTTTTGCCTGAATATATGCAGCTCCAATAACACACAAGAAGCTTGACACTATCCAGGACAAAGCAACCTGCTTGATTGGCATTACATCCACAAGCATCCACTCCCTCCACCACTGACACTCAAGCAGCAGTGTGAACTATGTACAAGATGCACAGCAGAAATTCACCAAGGCTCCTTCAGCATCACCTTTCAAACCCACAACCACAACCAGTAAGAGCAGTGGATACATGGGAACACCATGACCTGCAGGATCCCTTCCAAGCCACTCACCATCCTGACATGGAAATATGTTGCTGTTCTTCCAATGACATTGAATCAAAATCCTGGAACTTTCTCCCTAATGGCATCATGGATCTACTTACAGCACATAGCAGTGGTTCAAGACGGCAGCTCACAACAACCTTATCAAAGGCAACCAGGAATCAGCAATAAATGTTAGTCCAGTCAGTGATGCCCACATCCCATTAATGAATAGAATAAACTACTCTCTCAGTATATTTTGCCTCCCTTAATGACCCCATGCACATGAATCCCTCGGTCCCTCTTTCTCTATGAACACTTTAGAATTGTGACATTGAGTCAGGAATGTTTCTCTCTATCCCTTTTGCTAAAATGTATCACCTCTCAGCTCTCTGTTAAATTATACCTGTCACATGTCTGCTCGTTCTGCAAGCCTTTTTCCTGTCATAATCAATTGGTGTCATTTTCAGTGTTATTAAACCTCCAAGATGGGTATAATTGGCAAATATTACCAATTTACTCTGTATTACAATATTCAAATCTTATTTTAAAAAAAAAGTCAGCCTGACAGTGACCCTTGGAGAACACCACTGTCTACCATTCTCCAATCAGAAAAATAACCACTTAAATTGTCTTGCTGTTACCTGTCCTTAAGTCAATTTTTATCCAAGGTATGCACTAAAATTGGAACAATACGAGAAGATTACATGGCCGCTGCACAAAAATGAAATGCAAATTCATGAAGCATTCCACAAAAAACTTACTCTCCTATTCTTTGAACTTCAGTTTTGGTTCGTGGTCTTTTATGCGACCTTTCCCAGACGTTTTATTGAAATTGTTTAATTGAAATTATGAACAGTATCCACCACATTCCCTTGTCAACCTTTTCTGTTACTTAATGAAATGCTTCAATTTGATTAGTCAAACAAGATATCTCTTTTACAAATCCATGTTGACTCTCCTTAATTAATTCAAAACTTTCCAAGGGCTGTTGTCTTTCCCCTTGATTTTTGTTTCTGAATCTTTATCCACCACCAACCTGTAGTTACAAACACTGTTGTGTGCATTTTTCCTGAGCAAGTATGCGCAGCAACTGTCAATGCACCACATAGCACGATACTTTACAAAGGGAAATTAATCATTTGAACATCACAGTTCTAGAAGTGGAGAGATTTTTAACATTAATGATTAGATTTATTTTATTTGTGGCAATTGAAGCTAAAAATTAAATGTCTTACAACTAGATAAAATATGAAACAATATTTTTTTCCAAATTGAGAGTCACATTTCGCATTGGAAAATAGTGTAGAGTTGAACACTTGCATCACAGCTGACAGGATAGGACGATACTAAGAATACCTTTCAGGAGGCCAACTACTATAGTACACACCACTGACTCAATTTCAGTAAAGATTGGGGTCAAACAAGATTACATCATTGCACACGTTTTCTTCTCTGTTTTCATTGCTGCAAACCTGCACCTCGCCTTCAGTAAATTACTGTCATACGCGAAGATCATCTATAGAATAGACAGGAATCTTAACCTATGCCACCTTCAATCCAAAACCAAAATCACACCAATTTTAGTCATTGAGCTTCAGGGTGAATATTGCGCTTGTGAGCATGCTCACTCAGAAACTGAGCTCCAGGTCATTGCTGAATCCTCCTCCGAATCATGTGAGAAAATGGGACTTTCACTAAACACCCAGAAAGCCAAGACCCTTGTTCGACCAACTCCCACAGCATAACATCTCTCCATATTGTTTCAAATCAATGGATTCATTCTGCGAAATGTGGACCTTTCTTGACAAAGGTAAATATGAATGACAAAATTCATCACCATCTCCAACAATGCCAAATTAGCGTTTGACTGACTGAGGCAAATATTATTTGAGGACGAGGTTCTCAAGCCTGAGACCAATATCGAGAGTTTTGGACAACCTACAGCATGTAGCTTGAAGCCAACCTAAAGAATGATCAGCAGTGCCTTCACAACCCTTTCAAACTCCTATATCTGGAAGGGCAGTAAATAGCAACACTGTCTCCCAAGCCTACATGCCCAGTATCAAGGTACTTATTACTCCGAATGAGCTCCACTTGGTGGGAAGATCAGTTACTTGCCCAACACCAGAAATCTGAAGCAAATACTCTACATAAAGTTCTGTTGCGTCTGAAGACTCCCAAAATGACACTTGGAATGCTTTAGGAATATCCTCAAACATCTGTGAAAAAGTCAAATGTCACTGGACTTTATCCACCACCAACCTATAGTTACCAATGCTGTTTTGCATCCTTTCCTAAATAAGTATATGCAGCAACTGTCAATACAGCAAGATATTGTGCAAAGGAGAATTAATTATTTGAAGATTACAGTTCTAGGAAAGGAGACATTTTTAATATGAAAGATTAGATTTGTTTTATTTGTAGCCATTGAAGCTAAAAATTAAATGTCTTGTATCTGCATAAAATACTAAAATGCCTTATGAACTCTTGACAAATATTGCCAATTGACTCTGTATTCCAACATCCAAATCATTTTTTAACGACGCTGCTCCTAACACTGACCCCTGGAGAATACACTGTCAACCATCCTACAGTCAGAAAAATAAGCACTTAATTTGTCTTGCTGTTATCTGTCTTTAAGTCAATTTTTATCCAAGATAAACACGTACTAAATTTGGAAGGATACAGGGAAGAATAGCATGGTCTCTACACAAAAATGACATGGGAATTCATGAAGCATTTCACAAAAAAAAAGACTTACTCTCCAGTTCCTTGAACATCAGTTTTGTGGCTTATGAACAATTAAAATGGAAAATGTTTACTTGGGAAGGCATTGAACACACTGAGAATTTTATCGAGCACACACCATTGCAAAGTCACAGTATCACAGAGAGTGCTAAATCTTCCAAACAACTTATCCAATTGATCCTCCAATCACCAACACACATGTAAGCAGTGCTCTTGTCAGTCACCTTAGAACCCATTGAACTAGAGTGGAAGCTAACCATTCCCAATGGTGAGGCAAAGGCCTAGTATTATTCTCACTAGAATATTAATCCAGAAACTCAGCTAATGTTCTGGGGACCTGGGTTTGAATCTCACAATGGCAGATGGAATTAAGAATCTACTGATGTCCATCAAACTGTTGTGAATTGTCAGAGGGAAAAAAACATCTGGCTCACTAGTGTCATTCAGGGAAGGAAATCTATCTTCCTCACCTGGTTGGGCTTACATGTGACTCTCAACTGCCTGCTGGGCAATTAAGGATGGGTAATAAATGCTGGCCTAACCAGAGACGCCCACATCCTATAAATGATTTTTTTAAAAAATTCCTAAAGGACTGTCTAAGATGAGGAAGAAGTCACCTGAATCACCAATTGCTGATGTTGGATGCTACAACTTTTAAATGTCTGTATCAGTTCTTTTGATTATTAATCTATGCCCCTTTATCAACAGGGATTTAACAGTTACTTTTAAATCATGTTGATATAAATTTGTGAGTTGAAGGAGATAAATTCAGAAAGTGATACATCTGGAGAGGGAGTCATTTACATTTATGCGGAAAACAATGATCAGCTGACAGCTCATTACAACTTCCCAAATGACAACTAATCATAATTTTACTTTTTATTCATTCATGGGATGTGGGCTTCACTGACTGAGCCAATATTTATTCCCTATCCTAGTTGCCCTTGAGAAAGAGCAAACTTCTTGAACTGATGCAATCCATTTGCTATAGGTAGACCCACAATACTATTAGGAAGCAAGTTCCAGGATTTTGCCCCAGCAAAACTGAAGGAACAGTGATGTATTTCCAAGATAGCTTGGAGAGGAACTTGCAGGTGGTGGTGCTCCCATGTATCTACTGCTGTATCTAGATTGTAATGACTGGGGGTTTGGAAGGTGCTGTCTAAGGATCTTTGGTGAATTTCTGCACTGCGTTGTATAAATGGAGCATCAGTGGTGGAGGTACTAAGTGTTTGTGAATGTGGTGGCAGTCAAGTAGGCCGCTTTGTCCTGGGTGGTGTCAAGCTTTTTGAGTGTTACTGAAGCGGCATTCATTCAGACAAATGGGGAGTATTCCATCACACCCCTGATTTGTGTCTTGTAGATGGTGGACAGGAAAGTTGATGGCAGGGCTACTGATTTTATAGAGGGGGCAATTGAAAGATGTTGCCACACCAAGCTTTTCAGGATATGAGTAAACAGGAGGAGCCTTAAAAAAAAAAGGAGAGGTGATCTTTTTTATGATGTTACTCAGTGACTTGCTGTTAGAATTCCAAGCCAAATTTCTACCCTTGTGAAGAACAGCAGTAGAGGGGCTTGGCAGCAAAAACATCTGGTTTCTCAGTTGCTTCAATGTAGTGAACAGTTGGCTCTTTTGCAATGGTAAAGCAAAGGAAATTCAGAGGTGCTTGTATGAGTGAGGCTGTGTTGGTAGGCTTCCAAATCTGGTTTGCCTTTAGGCATTCTTGGTAGTGATAGTTTTGCTGCTCCCTTCAGATTAGAGGTCATATAAATCTGATTGTAGAATCTCCTTAACTTACTCAGCAAACTAAAAATTGGTATGTATGCATGGAAGGCTTGAGATCATCAATACAAATTTTATCATGTTCCATGGGCAATCCTAGATTTATTTTTTATAAAAGGGGGGATCAAATTTAATCAGAAGGAATTGTTGTGGATTTTTATCTCACAATTTTGAACAGTTTCATGACAGAAATTCATTCCTTCTCTACTGCTATGCATTAAGCACTTCTGTCAAAGTCTTTGAAGAAATAGTATTACCTCAGAAACCTAAATTTCAATTGCAACACAGCAAAACATTGTTGTTTGGATGCTTGGAAAATAGGTAGCCAAATGGGATGAAGTAACACAGGCTGCAGAAATACCTCTGTGTCAAGTCAGGTTTCTGTTCCTTTCTGTGACCATTTCTTCGTGTTTTGGGTAAATATTACTACAGTGCATATTATCTCCTCATGCAGCAGTTTCTGGCAAGAAAGTGATGATTGCACTCATTAGCTAAAGGATATCGGCCCTGGTCCAATGAACAGATCTGTCTGCTGATTTCAGCTACAAAATAGCACTGGGATTCACAAGCTTGACATTGTGGGTGTGAAAATAATAAAACTGAACTCCATCTTTAGCCTAGTTGCTATGGATGCAGTTAGAGGTCATAGTGGCAGCTGCTAACTAGTTGCCATTTTGCCAGATGCTCCCCTCCTGCTCTGTGTTTTCTTGCACCCTGGTTTCTAAAGGTTTCATGGTATTTAATTCCTCCTACTTATTTGGCATATGTACCTATTGAAAGGCATGATGCGATTCCTCCTACATGGAGATTTACTGTCAGGGATGATGGCCATTTTGGTGCTCCCTTGAGATCAGGGATTTTACAAGACTGACTTTAAAACCTGCTTTAAACTTGTTTAGCAACAAAAACAAGTTTGGTGTGTACACAAGGAAATCTCTCCATGCCTCCAATAAGAATTTTATTGTGCTGCCTGCTGATAGTCCTGAACATAATAAAACAACTGGAAGTAAAATTAAAGCAGCAGGATAGTTGTAGATGTTTATGTGAAATGAAGAGTTCATCAAAACGAAATGTCCCTCAGCATTTCTAATAATTATTTGCAAATCTTAAGTACATTTTATGGTCGCATTTAGTCAAATTGATATCACAGTTAGAAACAAAATAAAAGAGAATAATAGGATAGCTTTGAAAGTATTTATATCATGTGAGAATTTGTTCATGGTACAAAGTGAAATATATTTTAGTATATTAAGACAATAGTGTGTTAGATTTAATGTCTGGGGGTAGACTGGGAGGTAGAGTCCTCATTTGATGCAAGCAATTATATATTTAATGCATCTGCAGCATTTTCATTCAAAAACCTGGCACTCATTTAATGTAAATACCTTAATTATTCCAAAGGAGAGTTTTCATGCAGGTTTTGATTATGAACTATATGTTTAGAATCTCTGAAATTCACTTCCATAATGCACATAACAAGATTTGTAATTCTTGAAAATATGGTGCTTTTAAAAGTATTAAGAAAATTGAATCATTGACTGAACTTCTCCTTGATGGAATATTCTTTTGATCTTTTTCTTTAAATATGAGAGAACTTAGTTCCACACCCAACATTCCAGCATCGGACGACATGGTACTCCCCACCCTGCAGTCCAGCAGCCTCCAGGACTCAATATTGAGTTCAGTCATTTTTGAGCATGAGCACTGACTCCCATGTTCTGACTCCAATCCTTACAAAGCGGGCCTTGTTATCACATGGGCTGCTGTAAACAACCCATTGTCAGCTAATGGTCCCCATCAGCAACTCTTGATTCTCCCAGGCTGATCTTTATCCATTCCTTTGTCTGACCAACTTGTTCTCTCTCTCTGGGCTCCATCTCCACCTATCAATTACTCCTCCCCCACCCCGTTTTCGGTATAAATACACCCAAAATGTTAAATCTGCTTTCACTTCACAGATGTTGCCAGGCCTGCTGGGCTTTTACAGCAATTTCTGTTTTTGGTACATGGTCCTCCCAGCATTTCATGATAAAAGTCATCAGTGCCGTTTAAGTATTTAAATGAATTGCCCTTGCATTATTGTGCAAGATCTGTTCATTCCAACATAGGCACAGGCTGTACTTGATGAGAAGCAGTCCCAGCGCTGTGACCTGCAGAATCAGTATTTGGCTCTCATTTCATAGAATAAGAAGAAACATTATAAGATCGTTTTGTGGATAATCTTGATTTATACGGCATATTTCAACGTAAGGTTATTCCAGAGGAAGGAAACCAAGAGGTGGCTGAAAGTGGGATCAAGAGATGGATTTTGATATTTTTTTTTGAAAATACTGTTCGAAATGGAAGGATGCAGAGTGAGTTCAAGAGGACTGTGTTGGGATATTGGAAACTTGGGTACCAATAGTGTAGCAAAGGAGGTGATGCATGAGACATCAAAATTTGAAGACACATGCTTGAGGGAAAGATGCAATGGTAATGGAGTACAAGGCTATGGAGAGGTTTCTAGATGTGGATAAGGATTTTAGATGTTACATTGCAGAATAGCCAAACAGTTAGGTTGGTGAGAACTGGATTGAATGATGAATGAAAAATGGATTTGGGAAGAGAGAACATCTGTGAAGATAAGGATTCTTGGTGATCCATTTTGTACAAGTTTGGAAGTTAGCACTGAGTCAAAGAGATTGCCAGGATTGTTTACAGCCTTATAATACTCAGGGAAAAGGCTGGAGTTAGTCCTAAATATTTGCGTTAGATATAGTATTTCTGGACATATTAACTTTTGTCTCCTCAATATTTATCCTCTTAAATTTATTCCTTCAGAAGAGGTTCCTTTCTGGTTAGATCAACATTTGTTGCCTATCCTTAAATGCTGTTAAGAGGTGGGGTGAGTTGACTTCTTGAAATGTTGCAGTCTCATGTGATGCACATGTAAGCACAGCACAGTTAGGAAGGGAGTTCTAGGCTTTTAAGGCCAGTGACAGTGAAAGAATGGTGTCATAGTTCCCTATAAGGAGGGCATGCATGGCTTGTAAGGGAGCTTGCAAGTGTTAGTATTCCCTTGCAAACTACTACCCTTGTCTTTCTAGGTGGTCGAGCTCACAGGTTTCAAAGCTGTTATTGGAGGAGGCTTGGCAAATTACTGCAGAGCATCTTGTAAATGGTACAGATTTTGCCATTGTGTGTCTGTGGTGAAGGGAGTGAATGATTAAGGTGATGGCTG